AGCTCTATTCTTTGTTTTCTAGTAACTCCCAACTTAATAATGGTTGCTTGCAGAGTTGTTGGGAGTGAATAACAATAAAAAAGTATTAGGTTGTTTGTTTGTTTTTATATTAATTCATCTTGCTAAAGCCATGAAGGCCACTACAGTTGAGAAAGCTACTTTACTTGTGGTTACAACCGTTTTTCAACTCTATAATTCCAAAACAGGAACCTTGAAGAACAAGGATGCTGTGCAGAGAAACAAATTGAGCTCGGTGCTACCAGGGGCGTGGTGGGGATCAAACTCAGAACATCTCGCTTATGATGCAAAAGCTCTACCACTATACCACTGCATTTATATTACTACGTTAGTTATTATTATCAGTTTTTATTATTATCAGTTATCACAAATTATTACAAAAACTAATATCTACAGACTTTTGACTAATATGTACCACCTTCTTTGTTCAAGTTACCTTGTTATTTATAGCTCCCTGTGAACCTAATTTTCATTTATTTTCATACCTTTGGTTTGTACAAATATCAACACAGTTTGTAGTGACGTTTACATCTGTATTTAGGTCATATTACTATGATGCCTTTTTTACACATTTTTTGCTTCAATTCATGGTAATTCAAATGGTTACCTTATATACCTGATTAAATTTTTTTTTATTATTATTTTCTGTTAATAATTAAAAACATTGTTTTTAAATTTTTTTTTTTTTAATTGTATTATTAACTGGATATCTTTTATTTTTTTAAAAATAAAAAAAAGTAAAAATCTTTTGTTTTATTTATATATTTTTTTTTAATTAAAATTTTATGTTTAGTTTTATAAAAATTTAGTTGTACTATACAGAAAAATTAAATTAATTAAAAGTTAATTAAGAATGTTAATTAAATTTAACATCTATATATATATATAACTTCAACAACTTCAACTGTCATAACATCAACTTGTTTCTCCACACAGCGACCTTTTGTGTCAAGGTTTGTGTTTTGGAGTTGGAGAGTTGAGAGAGGTTTAAAACCACCATTAATATTATATATTAAATATAAATAAGTGTTAAGCATATATTTGACAGAAAAATGAACATCAAGTTTGTTGACTTTATTTTACTCAATTGTTGATGCTTGCTTAAAATTATAAAAAATATTTTACCATTTTTGTTTCACTATTTCACTAAATAAAATTTTATGCTTTAAGTATATGAAAAGAAACCAGCTAAAATTTTTTTTTTGCTGTTTTAATTTTATACACACATATGTGTGTGTGAGGCTTTAATTTTATACACACATATGTGTGTGTGATTGGCTTGTGGTTGCACTAATACCATATATAACTTATATATAACTATGCCGCATATATTTTTTTTTGACAACTTGTTTAGATGTTTTGACATTTTAAAAATGTGCCATAAAACTGTTTTAAATTATGTTAGGAGTATATTTGATATTGTTGATCATTTCTAAAGTGTTTATTTAATGCAAAGAACTTTAAATAATATAAAAAAAATTAATTCTAATAATTGTTGAAAATAAACACATTTTCTTTAAATTATCGAAGTATATTGATAATAATTTAGATATATAAATATAACAAAGAATATAACAATAAAGGACTTTCTAACCTACAGCGTTTCTTGTAAGCTTCCTGTGGAAATGCTCTTTCTTGACTTTGCCAAAGCTTTTGATAAAGTCCCCTCATGAAGATCATTGCAATAACTTGAATCCTACAGAATGGAAGGTAAAATTCTTGACTGGACTAAATATTTTCTTTCAAATAGATCACAACTGGTTCTTCTCAGTCATACCTTATCCAACTAGGAACAAGTTATCATTGGTGTTCTGCAAGGTTCAGCTTAAGACAAAGCTTATCTGCAAGCTGATACAGATAGCATTTTCACTTGGACTCGAACCTGGTGGATAGAACTCTACCATCTTGAAAAAGACATAAATGCCATAAAATGCAACCAGCATCAGGCTAGTAAACTGTTGCACAAAATAAAGCATTTTAACTACAAGACAAGATGCATAAAGCTCAGACTTACCTCTCTGCTCAAAAGATGTTTACATGGCAACATCATCCAAAAATACAAAATCTCGAACAACTCAACTCAGTTAGCTGACATATTGCTCTATATAAAATCCCTCAAGCTACGTCATCGCAAGCACTTTCATTGTGAAATGGACAACAATTGCCTTGTTTGTTTCAATATTTTTTTATAAACTGTGTTGCTCACCCAAGGGACGCACTACCAAACAAATTTGTGAGTGCTATCAATGTCAACTGCTTCAAAGGAAAATTTAGATCAGTTATTACTATAATTACCACTGCACATCATCTTCTATGTAATCATGCACAAGCTAACCCGGCTAGCTGTTGATGGACTTACAGGACACGCCTGTTCTGTGTAATTTAACTAACATATTAAATATAACTTTATTTATATAAGCATGTATTTTTAGAGTTTAATCATTTTTATGCTTCCAAAAGGCACCATCAAAAAAGTATCATTGTAAAATGTTATTTTAACCATGAATTATTTTGCATAATCCAAATTTATTTATTGTGAAAATGGAGCTAGCATGTTCAATTTGTTGTTGGTCAGATTTTATACTTTAAAAAATACATTTATTTTAAGAAAATAAATAAGAAAAAAAAGTTTTTCAATTTTTATGTAATACAAGTTTAAAAAAACATAAAGTTTTTTTTTTTAATTTTTTTGATAATATATGCAAAAGAATATAAAATGTTATGTTTTTACATTTAAAGTTTTGAATAAAGATGCTTAGTTAAAGCACATTTTAATTTGGAACTTGTGTAAAATAAGTTAAAAATACATTTACCAAAGTTCTGGTGCTATTTTATTAAGTTTTTTTCCTTAGCTCGTAAACTCAGTTGAATTTTTATATCTTTTTTTAAATTCTTTTAATTCGCAATTCTTTAATTCTTTTTTTAATTTTTTAAATTCATCTTCTAAAATTAACACTAACTTTTTATCTTTTTTGGAAATCTTATATTAAATCCATTGCAAAATTAGCATCTGCTAAAGTTGCATCTCTTTATCGTACTTGACGCTTTCTTACTCCAGATTCTATTCTTTGTTTCTATAAATTTCAAATCTGTCCTTGTATGGAATACTGTTGTCATATCTGGGGCGGATCTTCTAATGATGTTCTTTCTTTTAGACAAGGTGCAAAAACGCAATGCAAACATAGTTGGACATGCTATTGCAGCCAACCTCCAACCATTATCACATCGTTGTAATGTTGCTTCTCTTTCTCTGTTCTATAAATACTATAATGGACACTGCTCTAAAGAGCTAGCGTCTCTTGTGCCATCTAATAAAATTCATTCTTGTGTTACTCGTCATTCAATTAAGTCTCATCTTTTTTCTGGGACTGTTCCTAAGTACTCCAAAAACTCTTATTCATCTAGTTTTTTTTCTCAAACATCAGCTCTTTGGAATTCGCTTCCTTTATCTTGCTTTCCTGATTCATTTAATTTTCAATCTTTCAAGTTGTCTGTCAATCGTTATCTTGCCTTACAAACTTTATTTTTTCTCTTCCAGTAATTTCCAACTCTAATAGTGGTTGCTTGCAGCCTTGTTGGAAGCGAAGATGTTGGAAAAAAAAATTGATATAGAGTTCTCAACATCTTGTGAGAAAAACCAATACAATCCGCGTTACTAATATTGTGAATAAGTTCGGTAACATTTTTAACAATTTAACAATTTTTCTTTTTATCATGGGTTTAGTGCAATCAGATAAGTCAAAGTGCTGGTATTCTGTTTGTCTGATGTTTAAATCTGTTTGGGTACCATTTTCTTTCTTTATCTTTTTTTTTTTAGTCCTAGTCCTAATAGTTTGATATCATATCATTTACTTATGATCATGTTATAGTTTACCACATTATTTGTTTAGTTATATTTGATGCTGTTCTTACTGATAGGGAACATCCACACTTTCCTTTTGAGATCTTTATTTTCTGCTGTATTTTTATATCTGACTTTATACACTCAGAGTACATTATTGAATCTTTACATTTACTTTATAAGCATATAAAATTTATACATTCACTTTCATTTATACATTTATTCATTTATACATTCACATTCTAATAATAAACATTGCTGTGTACTAATTAGATCTTTATATTTACTCTATAAGCATTATGATCCTATTTATTATGAAAAAAATTACATTCATACAAATATCTACAGGCTTTTTATTATTATCAAGCTCAGCATAGATTAAGTTTTTTATTATCTACAACATTCTTTAAAAAGTGTAACCAAGTTTTATCCTGTTTATCTTTGCTTAGATTATTTTCTGTTTTTAATTTTTTCTGCATCTTTAAAAAAAATAATTTAAGGACTTTTTTAAAGGACACAAAAAAATGATTTTCCCTCTATGAATGAATCTGTGAATCATTTAGGAGCTAAAAGTTTCATTACAAATTTTATAATTGGTAGCACAAAAAAAGGAATTAAGTGAAATTATATTTAATTGGTGTAAAGTATTTAATAGTCCAATGGTTCTGTATTAGGTTTATCTTTTTATTATACTTATTAACAATTTACCAGAAGATGATGAACTTCTGAATGTAAATTAAACACTGGTTAAATAATGACAACATTTTGAAAGTACCCAATTAACTTTAAATATTAACAAAATAATTGAGTATTAAAAAATTAAAGAAATAAAGTTTGTTAGAGATTTGAGCATAAAATGGCTGAAAGTAGAAAATTAAGTAAAATTAACAGTTACTATATCACAAAATTTAATGAATAGAATATTTACTTAAGTTCTGACATTATTGTACTTTACACTATTATAAGACTTCATCAAGTGTTTGCATTTTCAATTTGGAACAATACAATATATATATATATATATATATATATATATATATATATATATATATATATATATATATATATATATATATATATATATATACTGTATTATTATCTATAAATTTTAAATGTTTAATAATCATTGATATATTTTCAGCATGGTGCATCTAAGCATGATCGTGATGACTTCTTAGGTGAAGCTGCCATTTTAGGGCAGTTCACTGATTACAATGTTATTTTGTTACAAGGTGTTGTGTTTAAAGGTAAAAAAATTTTAGTATACATACACACAATGTGTTTTTAATCAGAGTATATTTTTATAACATAAATTTATTTTTTTATAATTTTTTTTTAATTTTTTAATTGTACAGGGCACAAATTGGATAATTTGTTTTTACTTTTCAATTTTGCATTTTTTTATTATAGTTATTTTATTACATAGACATTTTTTCACCTGTTTGCTCAAAATATTTGTGCAATTATATTAATAATTATAAGGTTTAACTTTATTTACAATTTAAATACAAAAGTTGACATTTATTTGCTGAAAAGCATAAATACATGTAGTAATTACTAACACAAGTTTTGTAAAACAAACTGTGTTATTTAAAAACAAATTTTATGTATTTTTCAGAATAAATGTTATGTTTATTTTATTACACTCCCAGTGCGCACAAGATGTTTAGACATCTAAAACATGTATTAAAACTTATTAATACATTTATTAGACATTTAAAACATGTCATGTGTCTACTGGGTTTTATATGATAAATTATGTATTTATATATATGTATGTATATATATATATATATCACATATATATATATATATATGCACATATATATATTATCAGACTTCAGAATTAGAAAAACTTAACTGTTGGAGGTCAGCGAAAAAATTTGACGCAAAGGGGTTACCATAAAACATAGAAACAAGGTCAGCAATTTTTTGCTGACCTTAAACACATTAAGGTTGGCATTACCAAATGTCGACCTTAATTTCAATGGCTGATGTTATATATATATATACATATATATATATATATATATATATATATATATATATATATATATATATATATATATATATATATATATATATATATATATATATATATATATATATATATATATATATATATATATATATAACTATTTGTTGTAGATGTTTCTAGGAAGTTTTATGAGTTTTCTATAAGTTTCGGGCAGGTGAATTTAATTTAAAAAAATGAACTTAATTAAAAAATGTCATATATCAATATTATTAACTCAAATATATTTATTTCCTAAAATGGAAATGGGTTTAAAATGGAAACAATGTATAGATGGCAGTACTGCCATTGAGTAAAGTGTATGATTAACTTTCACATGGTCACCTGGTCCTATATTTTGTTTTTGGATCTCCAAAGCTTTACTAACTTTTTTTGTTTTAAGTTACAAATGATTAATGCTATAATATTTGTATCCAGTTACATTTACATTTATCTTAATAATATTTTGTCCAGCTACATTTACATTTATCTTCATAATACTTGTGTCTAGGTACATATACACTTATCTTCATAATATTTGCATCCAGCTGCATCTACATTTGTCTTCACAGTATTTGTATCCAGTTATATTTACATTTATCTTTATCAATTTTTGTTGTTGTAAAAATTGCATTGACATTTTTAAACTTGTCTCTCTCATGTAAGATTTTTACAAATCTACACTAGTTTATAGACACTGGTTGTCAAAATAGTTTGTAAGCTAGAGCCAGGTTTAGAAACAACTTTTTAGTTGTTTCTAATATCTAAAGTTTTTATTATATTTTTAGGTCTATTTCTTCCATCCACAGTAATGAAATATTTTTGAGATCAGTCAAAGAATTTTTTGATTTGAATACAATTTTTTTTTAATTTAAACCTAATGTTTTTTTGCAGAGTTTGTGTGATCCTTATTGTTTATAATCATTTTCTGATTAGATTTACTTTTAAAACTCCATAAGAAAATTAATTTTACTTCTTAAGTAAATGTAAATACTACAAATTTTATAAGCTCTATTAGCAAAACCAGTAACAATGCTTTATAGTCCTTTAGGGTCATGTTCCAATTTTTTTAAGTTGTGGTCCAAGTTTTGACTTTCTATTTTGACATTGATAATCACTTTTTTTAAATATATTCACAACTTGTATTAAAAATTTCAATGTAATATGTAATAGATATAATATTTATATTAATTATTATATATCATATTGAACATAAATATATAAACATTAGTTGCCACATGTCAGTAACCATAACTCATCTTCATAAATTAAAAATATTATCTCTGACAAGATGGTTAGTATGTTGGTGGTTGCGTCTCTAACCAAGGTGATTCAGTTCCTAATTGTTAAATTTTAGTAGAGTTAACAATATTGATTTTTCTTTAATATTATGCCATAACGTATTTATTACAATAAATTCTAAGTTTTTAATGATGATTTTAATTATTTTGGTTGCTGAAAAAAATACAGAAAAATTATTACAAAAGAAAGACCAGAAAAATAGAACTGCTATTACTTAGAATTTAATTAATAAAATTTTACAAGCCTTGAGAAACATGGCTGCTGTGCAGAGAAACAAGTTAAGGGTGGTACTACCAAGGATGAGATGGGAATTAAATTTTGATCTTAAAGGTTTTAATACTTTTTTTTTTCCTTTAATTAATAATTTTATTTTTGTTTGCAGTATATAATTTTATTATTTTACTTTTTTGTAGTTGTTTTAGTTTTTGTTTTGCAGGTGTCAACTTTTTAATTTTTAGTACTTATTTAATTTGCAAATTGAAGAAATCTTTTATAAATAATCTGTTGTACCTCATTTAAAATTTTTGTGTCTATTTCTATTCAATTTAGAAAAACCAAATTTAATTGTTCTTGAATTTATGGCAAATGGTTCATTGGATAAGTTTTTACAAGTAATCGGTTTCTTTTTACCATAGTACTTTTTTTTTAATATTCTTTTATGTTTTATTTGAAAAATAACGAAATAAACATATATAAACTTTTTCTTAAATATATGAACTAGGGAAGCTCAGGATCCAAACAAAAGCATTTTAAGCTGTATAATTTTTTCTTTTTAGGTTTTGCAATAACTTTTTTTTTTTTTACATTGTATGTGTCAAGTAAATGTTGCAAGCATTTTTAAACAAAGTTTAATTGTATTTGCAGAGCCTTATACAAAATTATGTCTGTTTAAAAAATGTTTTTAATATTGTTTTTATTTAAACTGCATGATATTTTTTTAGGTAACATGTATTTCAGAGTTATTCCTAATATCAATGAACAAGTTTAAAAAAAATGCTAGGATAAAATTTTCATAAAACGCTCATATTTATTATATTGTAAATATACTTTAAATTGCATTGTCAAATATTTTATGGCAAGATTGTTGGAAGAAGTTGTGCAAAATGTCTCTAAATTTGCTTCTTCGGTTTAAAGAAACTGACGCTTAAAAGTTTTAAAGCGTGACTGCTATTTGGGGGTAAGCAAATGAGTGCAACCTAAATGAGTGCAATGTAAATTGCAGAATAACAATATGCTGACTAAAATACAGAATATCAATAAACTTAAAGGGATCCCCAAATATATATCAGAAAAGTATATATTAGATCATTTTAAAAACGGTTTTTTGAATTAAAAATATAAATTATTATAAACATAAGTTAAAAATATATATAAGATCATTTTTAAAACGATTTCCTCAATTTTTTTTAAAAATAAAGATTTTTAAATCTTTCAAAATTTAACCATGTTGGATTATATCGTACTTATTGTTGTATATAAAAAAATTAATTAATTATTTTCTAAGAAAAATATTCATCTTGTGTATTTTAAAACTCGCTTTGCTTAATTACTGTTTTTATTATGCTAGTTTATTAAACTCAAACACTTAACAATACGTTGAACAAAAAACAAAAACATGCTACAGCAAACATTTTATTATATCCAAGCAGACTAAATATGTTTCCCCTGCGTAAAATTGTGTAAAACTGAACTGCGTATAATTATGTAAAATTGAACTGAGTTTAAAAACACTGTGGTGAGCAAAAACATTTATTATTGAAACCAGATGTTTTTTTCTGGAAAAAAATATGCAGATTTAAAAGCTTAAAATTAGGCTCTCAACTGGAAGTATAATGGCAAAACAACAAATGCTTTTGTTAATATCTCATTCAATATTTTGTTTTGGAAAGTTTAATTAACTTTTAACTTATTTTCTAATGTTTATCTATTATATGAACTTGTCTCAGCACTTTGGGATCCCTTTAAACGAAACTAAATGAGGAAAATGTTTTTAGTTTTAAGATAAAGCCACTTACAATGTTGGACTTTGCCTCTGCAAGAATATATGTAAGATGACTGTCATGACCATCCATAAATAGTGATACATATACATCTCTTCCATGTTGACTATTTTTGACCTTAATGATTTAAAAAAAAACATAAATAAAGTTTAACCTACACAATTGAAAGGGTAAAATAATAAACTAAAGATTATGTTGAAAAGGTCTTACTAGTGGATTTACCTCGAGAAACCAATTTTCAAAGACATGATTCCATCTGTCCTGACTCAGATACAGCATATTGGGCATCATTAGGACCCCTAATACACCATGTGTTTTTAAAATATTTGCTTTTATAAACTACAAAAGGTGGCACAAGAAATCCAGTAGTATTTTCACATATTAACACTGAGAACATAATTTTATTACAATTTTTGTTGTTTACTTTTTTATTTATAGTGATATGTAACCAGTTAAACTCATAATTTATTATTTATGTTAGAAACTTTAGTATTTACTAACTCTTTAACTATAAATTAGTGTAAGCAGACCATACTTTTCTGATAAACATTTATTGCCATGAGATGAATTAATACCTGAAATAATAGTTTCCTACAAAAACATTACAAAAATAAAATAAAAAATTTAATGATTCATTTTACTAATGATTTTTAATGGTTAAAACAGTGCAGTAAAATAAAATTAAAAAATATATAAATAAATTATATATATATATATATATATATATATATATATATATATATATATATATATATATATATATATATATATATATATATATATACATATATATATATATATATATATATATGTATATATATATATATATATATATATATGTATATATATATACATATATATATATATATATATATATATATATATATATATATATATATATATATATATATATATATATATATATATATATATATATATATAATTAAAATTGATTCTAATCCCACAGATTACCCCAGACTTGCCGTCTTGGAGTTTTTGTTAAAAACAAACCAGACACATCCCCACAAATAAAATAAGTCTTAGTTAAGCTAAAACAAGTGGCAAAACGTGAAAAAAATATTTTAATATTTGGTGTCCCTGAACCAGCCACCCCAGCTTGTGATACCAATCCAACACCCCCAGTACAATCATGTGCCTCTGGTGTTCTTAATATTCTTGGAATCACGGATGAAAATATCATCTTCTCTAAATTGTCTAAACATCAAAAAATCTGCCCTATTCAACGCCCTATGCTTGCTAATCACAAAATCTTTAAAAAATACATGGTAAGCCCTAATTTGTCTCCTACTGAAAGAGAACTAGATACCACCTACATAAGGATCAAAATGCCCGCAATACAAAACTTCGTTCTGAAAACCGTGAAGCACTATGATTTTTTTTTGATTTTTTTTTCTAAAGTATTGTACTTTGCTACATTTGAAATCATATGCATTACAATACATAATAATTTTTTTTTAATGAGTAAAAAAAAATTATTATGTATTGTTTAATTTCACAAATAATATCATTTAATTTTTTTTTAATTGATAAAAAATAGCTCCTGTTTTATAACTTTGTTCTTTATAGTTTTCATTTATGTTTTAAATGAAGTTATGAAGACATCAAGCATGTGCACCGCTGACATTTCGAATTAATAGTTCTTTCTTAATCATTCTTGTTAGAATTTTAAAAGAAAATTGAAATCAAAGTTTTACTATGTTTTCATTTTGTACTTTTAACTACGTACAAAATGTAAATGTTTTGTACTTTAAACTACGTACAAAATGTAAATATTTTGTATATTAAACTTCGTAAAAAATTACACTACGTAAAATGTAAACATAGTAAAGTACAAGTACTATAAAAAACATGAAAACAAGAAGTTGTTATTTTCAATTAATTATATAATTATAGTTATTTATATAATTATGCCTTATTTAAGAAAAATGGAACTAATAACATGCTTTAACTGATGATATAAATATTTGACATACTTTAAAATCATATAATTTGTATTAATAAATGCACACTTAAAAATATCAATTAAATATAATAGTTCTAAATATATATAGTTTTCCTTTTTTGTTGTTTTGAGATTTGCTCACTTTAATAAAGATGACACTTTTAAATTATTTAATAAAAATTGTTGTGCACGCTCATAACTACGTTTAAATACTTTAATTTTTATTCACTTTTTACAACCATAAAAAAAAATTTCAGTGCAAAAAAAAAAAAACTTTAATCTTAACCAAACATCAATTTAATAACCAAAAGCAAAAAAGTTAACAAACTTAATGTTTGTTTTCTGTCGATTTGAAGTAATGATTAAAGAAATAATGGAGTTGGACAAATTAGATGCAAACCCAGCTGAATTAGAATTGCAACCAACTTGATTTGAAGAAAAGAAGTTGGTTGCAATTCCAATTCAGTTGGTTTCATTTCAATTCTTTGCGACAACAAGGAAGCAAAACCTGAAACTACCAGAAATCCCAGCAAAGTAAGGAAAAATAAGTGACATGTTTGCTATGGGTGCAAACAAATATTTGTCTCAGGAAAAGGTTGACAAGCTCATGATCCAATTTATTTGTGACAGTCTTCATCCATTTTCTTTGGTTAAATAACCTGCTTTTAAAAATGCTTGCTTTTACATGCACTAAAGCTTTTAAAAATGCCTACTTTTACATGCACTAAATCTGCATTTCAAAGTTATATTCAGACTGTTTCTTCAGATCAGAATTGATGATGCTGCCATTCAGTTAAATAAGACTTTGCTCTCAATCCTCAGTAAAGTCAGGTATGTTGCAACAACTACTGATTGTTGGTCTGCACACTAGTAAAGTTTCATAGGGGTGACAGTTCATTGGATTGATCAGGAAACCTTGGAAAAGAGATCGGCTTCACACGATTACCAGAGATTGAGCTGATTGCTGCAGCAATTCTTCTGCCAAAGTTCAAGAACACCTGGACTGATAGGACTGAAATTATAGGAGCAGGTATGATTTCCTTTTTTTTATGTCATAATGTAATTTTTTTTGTCTACTTTTTTACTACTTAATCATCCATTGTTGTTTAAGCACAGTAAAATGAATCTTTGCATTGCTAAAAATATAATATGTATTGTTGTTTTTTTAAACAGGTCTGGTCTATGTGAGATAACACAAAGACCAGATGGCCAAAATGGAGCAGGTTGGGCAACATTCATCAGATGAAGATTTCTTCTCATCAATGAAATTGAGATTACATGTTACAGGGGAGGTTGATGTGTACCTTGCAGTTCGAACAAAATGGATTTGTTGAGCTCATTTTCATGCATCAAAAACCTTCTTCCTGCCTCTGCTGCCTGTGAGCGTCTATTCAACGGTGCTGGACTCTTATTCACTGCAAAGTGGGCAAGAATAAAATTGGCCAACTTTGAAAACCAACTGCTTCTCAAACTTAACAAAAAGTTTATAGCTTAAATTTGTACAGAAAAAAATAGACTACATTATTTTATTTTTTTTATTCAACAGCTTTGTTGAAAAAACTTTTACTCTGATTTTTAATTACTTTTTACTTTTTTTTACTTTTTAATTACTTTTTAATTATTTTTTTAATTACTTTTTGTAAACAGTAAAAGGTTTTACTTAAGTAAACTTTTCAAGCATATTTGTATCAACCATCTTTGCATCAAGCATCTTTGCATCAAGCATTGTAATGTGTGTTTACTCAAATACTAAAAGAAAGTTTATAGACTTTAATGCATGCATAATAATGCTTGAAATGATAATCTTTTTTTTCATATTTTTTATACGGTACTTTTTATGTTTAACTGAGCCGAATGTTATTTTAATAATTTAATTTAATATAAATAATCTGATTATTTGAGCTTTCTGACACGTTTAATTAAGTTCTGAAAAATAAAAGGCTATATTATATGCTATAGTATTTATAGTATAAACATGTTGTTGAGGTTTGCAACAAAATAGGTAGAATTATAAAGTTATAAAATTTGCTAGATATAATGAAGCTTCAATGTTTGTTCAGATTTTTAGTAGTGACATATTTTAAAAAAAAAGCACTAACATTCGCAAAATAATTAGAAGAGTTGGAGTTTAAAGCATATGTTTGGTAGTTTCACAATTTTTAAAGATCATTTCTATTTCATCAAATCTTATTAGATTTAAATGTACACCAGTGATTAATTTTCTAAATGAGTGAAAATTTGATTTATTTTTTGTTTTTATGAAATAATGGAGTGCTAAGGAATGTCAACAGCTTTTAAATTTTTTTTTGGAGAAAAAAGAAATTGTTATGCCAGCAAAAAGTAATTTAAAAGTAATTTAAAGTATTAAAATAATTTTTGAAAAAAAAACCCGACCTTTTATGACCTGAAGAATAATTTAAAAAAAAGGATGTTATTTTGCTTTAAAAGATTTTTTTATCTGTAGATTTTGCCCAGACTTATAATCAGAGTATGTAGCCCTAACCTACCACTATTATTCATTAAGACATGATTATTCTTCTATCACAAATTTATATCAGGAGTTTTATATATTTTTATTCATGTTTGAGAAATTAGGAGTAAATTTTTTAAGTTGATGGTGTTACATTTTTTAGATTAAAATTTTTCAAGTTAAAATTTTTTAATTTGAAATTTTTTATGTAGAAATCTTTGTTGTTTAATTTAATTACCTTTTTTATTACATTAATTACAGAAAAATGATATGCAGTTTAGTATACTACAACTTCTTGGAATGGCGCGTGGTGTGGCAAGTGGGATGAAATGTCTCTCTGAGATGGGTTTTATACATAGAGTAAGATTCTTTGATTATTTGTGTGTTGATTATTCTAATTATTTGTGTGTTGATTATTTTGAAGCTATTTTTATTACATTTTAAAGCAAGTTTGTGTATAATTGTTAAACTTGTTTTAACTAGGATCTTGCTGCACGCAACATATTAGTTGATGAGAGTTTTTGCTGTAAGGTTGCAGATTTTGGAATGAGTCGTAAAATCAATGTGGATGATACCTATGACACTAAAGTATGTTTTAAAAAAGAAATCTTAAATGTTTTGAAAAACCATTATTTATAAAAAATTTTGTTTACAAAAATAAAGGGTGGTAAAGTACCAGTTCGTTGGACAGCACCTGAATCTATTCAGTTTAAAAAGTTTACAAGCGCTTCAGATATGTGGTCTTATGGTGTACTTTTATGGGAAATTATGTCATATGGTGAGAGACCATACTGGGACTGGGGAAATTATGAAGTAAGAGTATTTTATTGAAAAAAAATCTGCTTAAAAAAATATTTTTTACTTACATTTTTTGTATAGTTTTTCATTTTTTGTTTCTAGGTTGTTGAAAGAGTTAATACTGGATATAGACTACCGCCTCCAATGGTTAGTTATTATTTTTATTCTGTTAAATTAGTACAGATCAACTTAGATATGAAGAAACTTTTGAATTTAGGAAGAAAGTAATTTTAATTTTTTCTCGAAAATAAAAAATTATATTTTCATTTTTTTGCAAGTATTCGGACTTCTTGTTTTCATCTCTAGTTCCATCAACCAAAACTCATTTTCATTTGACTCGTCATTCAGCACAGTCTCATCCTTTTACTGTATCTGTCCCTGCATGCTTTAAAAACTTTTTTTTGTCTAGTTTTTTCCCCTGCACTTCAACCCTTTGAAACCCAAATGCCATCTTCATGTTTTCCTGACCCATACAGCCTTCAACTTTTCAAGTCTTCTGTCAACTTTTTCCTTGCTCTTTAACTCTGTTCTGTGTTTTCTAATGACTTTCAACTTAATAATGGTTGCTTGCAGCCTTGTTGGGAGTGAATCGGAATAAAATAAAATAAATAAAAAGTACAGCTCATTGTTTTTCCACTTTACCTCATAATGTTTGAGGTTTTTTTGATTAGAGACAATAAAATACTCTACAATGTCCTTAATTTTAGTGTTAGGATGGAAATTACAATAGTTTTAAACTTTATTAAATTGGCTGGTTTCATTTTGCAATTACTTTTTTATTAATTAATGTAATTAAACTAAAGTTTCAGTAAAAGAACACTTTATAAACAAATATATATTAAAACCTAACACTTTATAAACAACAAAGAAAATGAGGCAAATTTAATAAATTATAATTGCTCAAAAAAAATTTTGCAACTAGGATTTATCTTTTTTATACATTTAAAATGCACATGTAATGTAAATAACTAAAAAATTGCTTTGAATAAAAAAAATAGGTGCTTAAATACCGAGGACATCATAAAAAAAAAGGCAAGTTAATTAAAAATAAAACAAATTTTTATTTGTTATATTTTTGAAAGTATTATGCATTAACCTTAAGTCCATAAGGAACTAAACACATTGTAATAAGAATTCTCCCAAATATAAACTATATACATATATACAGTGAATATATATGTATATATATGTATATATATATATATATATATATATATATATATATATATATATATATATATATATATATATATATATATATATATATATATATATATTAGCCAATTCCATAATTTTTTTGACAATCAGTTTTTATGCGTAGTGGCTAATATTAGCATAGAGGTCATATTTATATGAGAAAATTTTTAAATTTTTTATTTTTTCTTGATAAAAGTATTTGCGCTGATTGATCAAAGTTACGTTTTTTAGGATTCTTGACTAAATTTAGAGCAATTTCCTAGCATTGCACAGTGGTCCAGGTGGTGTACAAAACCTAAAAAATAAATGTTTATTATATTCAAAACCATTTAATAAACATATTTGTAATACTCTCATTTAAAATTTGAAAATTGTTTTGAGTATAATAGTATCTTTTAAAACCACAAAAATCAGTTGCAGTTTCGTGTATAATGAAATAGGATTTTTAAAAAAAAAGTTTGAAATTTTTGTTTTTTATGCATAACAGTAAACAGTAACTTTTAAAATTTTATGAGCTTACTATATATTATTTAAACTATTTAACATTAAAGATTTACGAAAAGAATATAAAGTAAAGATCAGCCTTTATAATACATTTATAATCTGGCTTTAAAATAACAAGGTAAATTTTTAACATTTAATACTTTTATTTTGTACAAAAAGTGTCACATAAATTAGGGAACCTACGAGAATCTATATTATATACTTGAACTAGTAAATGTAATATGTATACAATCTGTTTGAACTATATTCATTGCCCCTAACCTCCCCTTTTGGGTTTCTTTAATATTTTAAAATAATGACTTGTAGTTTATGATATTTTTTTGAAATTGTAAACAAAAACACATGTTATTTTGTTTGTTATTTTATTCAATACAAATTGCACTGTTAACAATTTATTTGATTTTTTGTTTAGTAATAATATAAAAATTGTATTATAATAATGTAAACATTTAAGGACTTATTCAACAAAATAAACTAGTTCATAATGATATACCATTCTTTTCATCAAAATTAACTGTTCTAATTTCTGCAGATGTTAAACTAGAGGAATCTGAGTGAAAAACTTTATAAAATTACAATGTAAGAAGTTGATAAATGCAAACAATGATAGTACTCATTTTGAGAGAAGTAATGAAAATTAGCTAGCTCAAGATTTTCCATACACCTATGGAACATTAAATGCTACATCATCAGTTAATGAAGTTGGGAATCCATGTTGCTCTTTTAAAAAAACTTGTAACAGAACAAAAAGAATTAACAATACTTTTATTATTTTATTTAGCCATAAGTTACTTCATGCAACAAAATTGAAACTAAGAAGTGAGTTCATGTACAAAACTGGTATGAAAATTTTTGAAATTTAAAATAAAAACCCCATTAAACCTGCTTAGATATATTCACCTAATGAAGTTTTAACATTAATTGTTAATGGTGATATATCAAAGTAAACATACCAGCTTCTAAGAAATGGTGCTGAAAAATGGCTGCAACATATATCCTTTATATAATGGTATAAGATCTTCAAAAGCTTAATGCTACACTGTTAAAAAAATAGTTTGTTTTTTATGGAAAAGTTCCGGCAGCTGCCGATGACCAAACTACCCGTTATTTTACAGAATAACCCATCGCATGTAAACAAAAGTTTCCATTAACACAGATTTTTTCTGTTAAAATATAATGGGTTTTTTTCCGTTAAACAACAGGAGGTTTGGTCATTGCAGCTGCCTGAATTTTTTCGTAAATAAACGGTTACTTCCGTTTATGTTAAAAAAGTTTTTCCTGTTAAACAACTGAAAGCCAACTCAGCTGCTGCATAGTTTCTCTAAATAAAAGTAATGTTGCAGTTTATATTCTGTTCATATGAAAATTTAAACAAATTATTTCCAACAAATATTATATATATATAAAATCAATGGTATGTTTTTGAAAATATTTTCTTAAAACAAATTTTCTTTAATTTACATAAAAAATATAAAATTTTACATTTCATTTTAACAGCAAATACACAAATAAATATTAAATTAGTAAAGTAATGAACACTTTCAAAAAAATTATTAACAGTTTCGATAAAGTATATACAATCACATAATAATATAATTATATTACATATCCCTATATACATTTACAATATAGATATACTTAAAAACTTATCGATAAGTAATATATATATATATATATATATATATATATATATATATATATATATATATATATATATATATATATATATATATATATATATATATATATATATATATATATATATATATATATATATATATATATATATATACTGGTTAAATAATAAATATAATTATAAGTAAATTAATCCAAATACACAAAAATAGAGTCTTTCCTTTCTTTTCTATTTCAAGTCAACTCTAAATCTAAAATAAAAACAAAAAAAAACAAAATATTTTTGAGTAAGGAAAGATTTTAATATTAAACAAAGTAATAAATTATAAAAAACACTCATTATGTGCAATGGTTACCTTAAAGTTGTTACTCGAAATAAGTGATTTAACTAAGGCCAAGCAACAAATAACTCTGGATAAAGTTAAAAACTTTTTTGAGCAATAAATACAAGAAATTAAAACTTAAATTGAAGTATGATACAAATAGAGGTTTTAAAGTGCAATGTAACCAATCTCAGTTTGTTTGTCATTGTAATGGTGATAATTTACCTAATTTCCTGTTTATACCATTGTTGATGCCATATGCCATTACTCCTAAATTTAAAATTAGATTTTTTTATATTATTAAATAAATAAAAATCTTTACAACTTCTTTAAAATCAAATTCCAATAATTAATTACTAAATTTACTAACAAAATAACTCAACAATTTAACAATAAAACCCAAGTTTTCTTTTCTATTCTGTAATGAAAACCTTATCAACCTTATCATAAATTTATCAAATTATTATTTTTATTTAATATAAAACCATTTCAAAACTCAAATTTAAAATTTAATAAAGAGGCATACTTTAGGTCTAACCTTTAGCTAAAAAAATTTATATAACATAACTATTATATAATAACTTATTTAATATAACTATAATATAATATCTTATAAATTAATAACTTATAAATAAAATAATTTTTACCTATCTGGTCCATTGTCATCTCTAAAAATCGTCGCTTTAGAGGGCAGAGGTTCTATCTCCATTTTGGGTAGTTTTGCAAGAGACCAAAAACAAAGTTTGAGCATTAAGCATAAATCAGCAATTTCATTTTTTGTTAGTGTTAATGTTTTTTGATCAATTAGAACTATCAAACATGATAGGAATAATTCAACTTTTTTGAAATTATTAACATTGAAGAGAGTATGGCACAAATTATAAAAGTCATCATGGAGATAGAACCTTTGCCTAAATTAATTGCGAGTTGAATGGAATTTTTGAAATTTATAAACATAATGAATCCAATTAAAATTCTTTTTTAATTAATACAAAATGCTTTTTATGATTGTGTAAACTATCAGATAATGACAATCATGGTTCAAACTTTTTAAAATTAGTAACATTTGGGTTAAATTTTACAATTACCATGGAGATAGAACCTTTACTCAAATTAACTGTGAATTGAACAGAATTTAAAAATTTGTAAACAATGTTTTTGTAATCAATATTATTAAATTCTAAGTGAAATCTTAATCTTAATTAGCAGAAAAATCAGAAAATTGTTATAATAGCAAAATTATATAACAGAATAATTATTATAGTAATACTGAAAAAAATGACTGACAAAAAACAAAGTCTTAGTTCTAGTTATCTTCATAGTCCGAGTAAAGAACAAAAATTGTTATAATAGCAAAATTTAACAGAATAATTACCATAGTAATATTGATAAAAATGACTGACAGAAAACTAAGTCTTTGTGCTACTTGTCTTCATAGCCCGAGTTAAGAACAAAAATTGTTTTAATAGCAAAATTATATAACAGAATAATAATAGTAATACTGAAAAAAATGACTGACAGAAAACTAAGTCTTAGTTCTAGTTGTCTTCATAGTCCGATTCATCAATTTCTGACTCATCAGCAGTTGGTTCTGGTAAACTGTCTCTCATGGCTACTGCAGACGGTAGGTTGTTATACCATTGGGCATAATCTGGTGGAATAACACGCGATTTCACCATGCGCATGAGATCTTTTTTTTTCGCATCCGAAATAGGCAGGCAAGTAGGATACAATGGCTGAGGCTCTAATCCTTCGATGTTGGATCGTCGTCCTCTTCCAGACTGTACATTTATTTCCATAAAGAAAGGCGACGTAATGCTATATTTGTACTGCATAATGAACGGTCTTGACTTTTCAAACCTTGCCCACTTAATATTCAACCAGTTGACGGTTTCACCTTTAATATTTTTGTAGGATTTTTCACAATTTTACCGCAAAGTTGTTTTGAGTCAAAAAAATCGGTGTGTTGCAGTGGTTTAACAAGATATGGACACGGATTCTTATAGAAAAAATTTCATATAGAAAATTTGTGCATCACCTGCAAATGGAAGTGGTAACACTGCTTCGAGGTCAAAAGTTATAGAACGAATGGACTTGTCAGCAGCAGATGCAGTCTTATCAGAATTTTTTTCGTCCATAGCTTCCTTTTCACGAAATTTATGACTGTCATAATTTGGTCATAGCGTTTCTTTATCATCACCACTGGCATCTCGAAAAGCATTGCAAATCGAGCATTGGTCTTTTTTGGGAATAAAAAATTTTATATTAAAATCAGTAACAAATATTCTTCGATATACACCGATAGAAACTGGATCTGTGATATTTTTCGTTGTGCAATAATCATCTTTGTATAGTCTATAAAGTTCCTCAATACTTAGTTTAGGACTAAGGTATTTTGCCTTTGATGAAACCCGACAGTAGTGAGATTCGACCTGAGGAAAGCTTAGGATGTGCTCTCGAACTGCATTGGTTCGCATTTCTAAAGTCTTATTGGCTGGAGTTTTTCCTTTTTTTGAATTTGGTGGTATGAAAAGACCAATCTCATTTTTATTTTTTACAACAAACTGAACAGTTTTCTTGCTTATGTCCAAAGTCGTGCAAAAAAATTTTTGGCACACTCTAATGACAATGTTTTCATTCGCTTCCACTGGCAGATGATATGCACAGGATATTGTTTTTGGTCTTATTCCTGAATTGTCATGACGACGTGAAACATTGCTACTTTTCACTAAATGGCATATGAAATCTTTTTTTCTATTTTCACCCTCTAGTTGTTAGTAATGTTTATTTATTTCTAGTCGTTTGGTTTCCTCAAATTCCGCACAAATATAGATAGCTCAAAACTCGCACAAATTTATTGCTCTTCTCCTACTATGTGGAGATAGACCCGCTGCCTAATCTGATTCTAGCACTTATAATAGATGTCCCCAAAGCCTGCCCTCTAAGGCGACGAAATGTAAATATGAAATCAATGAAATACATTTTATCATTTTTAAAAAAAGTTTTTTTTTTTGTTTATGCTTAAGTTTAAAATTGTTAAAAACCAAAGTGCAATCTATCTTGAATCCCTTTTTTTTTTTTTTTTTTTTTTTTATTTGGAGAATATCTACTTCAATAGACTATAATAAAATATATTTAAAAAGTATAAACAGATTTATAATTTAAAAAAAAAAAAAATTATTTTCTTCTTGTTCTAAATATAAATAATGAACTTAATGATTAATTATAATAACTTATAACTAACTTTTTAACTAACTTTTTAACTCTTACACCTTTGAGTACTTTCTTATCTAAATATAAACAAATGTGAACACAAAAATGATATAAATATTTTGTAATAGACATTTATATTAATATATATATATATATATATATATATATATATATATATATATATATATATATACATATATATATATATATATATATATATATATATATATATATATATATATATATATATATATATATATATATATATATTTTAAAATTTTTTTTTATTCTTTTTTTTTTTTTTTTTTTCTTTAAATCTTCAATTTGATAATCTTTGTTATCATAGATAAGTTTACAATGTTTAGACCTGGACATCAATGCTTAATTTATAAGTTCTTGAAGGACGTTCCTCCATATATCTTTTATATTATTGAATAAACCCTGTAACCCATACCATGATGGATTTTTTTTTTCTATAATAGAGTACTCTTGGGACTTTTTGATATTTATTTATGTAAATATGTTTGCATTTTTGATCACAATCAGTAAGGTAGAATAATTTTTCATCAGTTGTAATGATTTGTGTCCAGTTTTTCTTAATAAATCTGTAGATCTTGTAAACCTTCTCTTGATTGCTCAAGGTGATAATACATGTTCGCATCCTTTCGAAACTTTTTAAAAATTAAATATTTTATCAATGTAATATTCAATTGACTTTCTTGATATCTTAAACTTTCTCTAAGAAACTTTTAGATAAGAAATAATTGGTGGTTTGTCTTTTTATTAATAAGTTTGAAATAAATTTATGTCAAATTTTTCATCTGAAAAATTTGACATAAATTTAGCTTCAATGGTCGATGTCAATGTTCAGCTTTTTTGCCATTTAAATTATCTTTCCTTTTAATTCTCGCCACGTTGTTTTTAACTCTACTAATGGTGGTTATTGAAACTTTGATTAATTCCTTTTCTAATAATTTCTTAATCATTTTATATGAATATCTAAGTTGTACCAACAATAAAATACATCCTGTATATTTTTTTGATTTTTATTTTATCAAAATGCTTTGTTTACATAAATTTTTTTTCCCGCTAACTACTTTAAATATGTGATTAAATTATTTAAATAATATCATTAAATATTGTTTAATCAAGTTTCAAAAGTGTTTCCATTTTAATGTCACATGACTGTATATGAATTACATCTATATATATATACTCTTATATATATATATATATATATATATATATATATATATATATATATATATATATATATATATATATATATATATATATATATATGGATTTTAGACCATATTTTACAGAAAAATGATGTATAATGTATATATGTATATATATATATATATATATATATATATATATATATATATATATATATATATATATATATATATATATATATACATACATATATATATATATAATATATATATATATATATATATATATATATATATATATATATATATATATATATATATATATATATATATATATATATATATATATATATATATATGTATGTATGTATGTATGTATGTATGTATGTATGTATACACCATTCAAGTATATATAAACATTTTAAGTACTTTTTTTTATTTCTCTAATTCGGATTCTGTTTCATAACCTTTTGTTTTTAAACAAAAGGTTATGTTATTATTATTATTATTGTTATTATGATCACTTTTATTGTAATGTTGCAGGTTTTTACTTTAGATTAGTACTTGTACTATTTGTAAAAGTCCTAGAATTAGTTATGTTAAAAAAAAGCTAGAAAATCTAACATTTCTTGTTAATGTGACAAGTTTGTATGCTAAAATTTTACTTTGGCTTCCATAATAAAATCTTTTTCCATTAGAAATTTCTCTGTTTTTCAAAAGAAGGAAAATTTATGTTCAATTTTGTTAAATGGGTACTCTCCGTACAAATAATCGAAAATAATTCCGTAAAAGTAAAGAACTTTTTAACGGTGTATCCCAAGAACATTCAAATAGATGGCTATTCAGTACAAATACCGCTAAAAGATCTTCTAAAAC